TTGAAGAGCCACATAAAATATTTCATACATTTTTCAACTTTGTCAAATCATATGCATTTTTGGGAGATGGATCAAATATTATTCTAGATATAAATAGTATATAATGTATAATTGTTGAACTTAATGTAAATGAAAGATAACATGCCATAGAATTTTATACTAATACCACACAATTGTTTAATCATTCTAACTTTGAATATCAAAGAAGGATGTTAATTGAACAAGCAATGAATTTAAATTGTTTACATAAATAATAGCTATAGTTTTAAAAAAGCAATTGCATTTGTTTACTACAAAGATATTTTTTCCATCATTCTTAAAAAAAAAAGCTATAATACAAAGTCTAATTCAACTCTAAATAAATAGTGATGTAACTTAAAGCAAAGAATAAAAACCATTACATTTCTAGAAATTATAGGATCTAAAAAAACTAGACAAATATTTTTTTATCATCTTCAAAAACTAATAAGATTCTTTAACACTAAATAAAAATTTATTTTTTATTAATAATGTTAATACAATAAATTATAATAAAATATTTTTCAAAAAAAAGAATTAATTTATCTATCAAATAATATAAAAAACATGTTATTCTAAATTCTTAGAAATAAATTATGAATCTTTAAAGATAGGAAGTAAAAAACAAAAAGTTAAGTAAATGGATTTTTTTTCAAAAATAACTTGCTTAAATAGTTAAAGATTTAAGCTTTATTAAGCCTCACAAATAGTATGTTGGGTAGCTTCTTTTTCCAACTTTCACATTGAACTTCCAATGCCAAGTGTTTTTACATATATTATTCATCTAATCTAAATTTTCATAGATATTAGCAATCATATTAGCTACTAGCTTATTAAATTTTACTTCAATCCAATTTGAACATTGCTATAAATCCCCAGAAATCATATCAATCCTTAAAATACCAATTTTTTATTTTAATCTATTTAAATTTTAATAAATTTGAATTTGACTTAACATTTGGATTCAAATTCACGTCACACTTCTAATACAAGTATATGTACTATTTCTCAAAATTTCACCTAAAAGATTCTTTTAGAATTTATAAAAAAAATTAAAATATAAAATATATTATATTTTTCAAAAAATTAATTATCTAAAATCAAAATGAGTTGCATAACTCTCACAAAGTTATTACAAATTCAAATTGCTCAAAATCAACACTATTTTGTTATATTAAAATAAACTTGAGAATAAATTAGGTATCTCTTTGTCAAAAAATTTGATTTTATCTTAAATTTAGATTTACAATCCAAAAAGAATGCTTAAGGTATTTAAATATACCTTTGTGGCAAACTTCAACAATCCAAGAAAGTTTCTAATTATACTATATATTCTTTATTAATCTTAAAAAATTCTAAAAAAATATTATTACACTTTTATTAATTCCAAATTAATCTTAAAAAATCCTTAAAAATCCTAATTAAGTCCTAAGAAATACTAATCAATTCTTAAGAAATCATAAAGAAATTATAACCAAATCCTAGCCAATTTTAGAGAACTTCTAAATAAATTTTAATGTAATCCTAATTAAATTTTAATCAAATTCGTATTGAATCCTCAAAAATCATAATCAAATCTTAATCAAATTTCTAAAAAATCCTAATAAATTCTTAAATAAAGTCTATGAAAAAGTTTAAATTTTAATAATTATTAATTTAAATAGTAATAACAATTAAAGTTTTTTTAAATTCTTAATCTATTAGTTAACAATTAATATACAAATTTTGAAGAAAAAAAATATCTAATTGAAAGAAAATACTCCTAATCTACTAAAGTGTTGGCCATCTTCTTTTTCAAACTTTAATGACAATCTTCTAGCATCAATAAGTCCTCTTTGTCCTATGTATTTTCTCTCAAAATTTTCTAATTTTTTTGAAACTATGTCAAATATCAGCACACAAAAGAATTATATAAAATCAACTAGCATATTGCTAAAAATTGTAGAAATCCTCATTGATCTTCAAAATCCAATTTTTGAGACTATAATTCATTTAAATCTCAATTAATTTTGATCTAATTGCTCGATTGAACTTATTCTAACAAAAAAAATTAAATAACTAAATCTATAGAGACACAAATTTTCACTTGCAGATTTGCTATAGAGTTTACAAACATTACAAAAATTTAAGCCATGTTTTATTCTAAAAAAAAAAAAAAAAACAAAAAATACAAAAAATACAACAAATGAACAAAAAAAATCACCTCAAATAATCCTAACTTTGAAAAATTCTCACAAAATTTATATCAATTCAAATTCTTTAAAACCAACATTTAAAGAAACTATATTAATTTTTCTTTCTAACCTTTACTCTTTGATCAATAAAAATATCTCTATATTTGCCATAGATATGAAATTTTTTATCTTAGAATTTATTTCAACTCTAGTTTGTAATTGGTCCTTTTTAGATATTAATCTAAGCTTTTTTCAGGTAATTTTTGCTAAAAGCTGTTCTTTACTTTTACTTAAGGATTTCTATTTTAGTTGTATTATATTACAAAAATACAAGTAAAAATGATTTAAATTTTTTTTTTTATCTTATACTTCAATAAAATAAAATAAAACAAAAGACCTTGATTTTTCCATAGGTATGCAATTTAATGCATTAAATTCTAGTTTTAACTTTAGATCACAATTGGTCCTCCTTAAATATTAATCTAAGATTTTTTTAGATAAGTTTTACTAGAAACTATTGGTGGTTTTTACTTAAAGATGCCTATACTATTATTTTTTCAAAAATACCTTATTTTTCCTTGTTTATGATTCCACAAAGTAAGCAAAAGTTTTTTTAATAAAAAGAGCAATATAAAGATTACTTTTATCTATATTTTTTATAAGAAAGATTACTTTTATCTATAATTTTTTTTACCAATTCCTTAATTAAGCTCTCTTATAAAATAGGTCTTTTTTATTCTTTCACCTAATAGTTGTGTTACAACAAAACAATGCACACCTTAAATCTTTACAAGCATTTTGATATAAGACTAAAATGTATAAAAAACATGATCTAGTATCAACTACTTATGCTTTTGCATGAATGCCAATGGATTACATTTTAATTAGAAATTCAAATAAATAGATCCAAATAAAATTTGATGCATTCAAAGATAAAGATTAGAATTGAAAATAACATGCCTTGCTTGCATTTTGTTAAAATAGCCTTGCAAAATATAAAAAAACTATATGGAAAGATCCAACACAATTTAGATTTGATATTTATATGAGTATAATTTATTTTTGGAATTATTCCTAAATTCATTAGTATATCCTATTATATTTTATGTGTATTTATTATATTTTAAAATAATAAGAATTTTTATTAATTAATGTGCTTTAATACACATGTATATTATTTTTATTTTCTAAAATTTCTTACAAAGATATAAAAAGGCACTTATAAAATAAAATAGCCACCATAAAATATTATATTATTATGTATGTAATTAATTAACATTATATTAATTCACAACTACTAATCATCATATGAATCAATATAAATTAATCTTTAAAAAATAAATATAATGGTACATTATATTATTTTATAATCTAAAAATTTGTATAATTATATAAAAAATAAATTTGAATGTTTGGTGTATTTATAGTTATATTTGTAATTATCAATTTTTAAAAGAAGAGATAAAGGATGACCTAAGCTTTTGATGTTTTATAAAACTCGTTGTATATAGAAAGATTATAATAAAATATAATATTATATTCTTAGTTATATATACTTTTTATCACAATATATGCAAGACTTATAAAGATTATCACAAAATTTATAATAATAATTTATAAAAATTCTTCGAAGAAGTATTCAATACTTTATTTATATCAAAGTAGCATATATTATATATTACAAATTTTAAAAAGTAATAATAGTTAGAAGTAATTTGTTTAGTAAATATTACGTTGACCTTATTATTAAAAAAAATAATTAATAGACTATATCTAATTGAATCTATTCTTCAAAATTCTATAAAATCTCTTATATAAAATAACTAAAGAGGGAGGAGGGGGTGACAAACCAACAAGATAAACAAGATAAGACAAAAACCATCTTTTATTGGATGCATCTTTTATTATTTTTATCAAAAAAATACATCAAAAGTGAAGCAACAGTTGAGTTTATAAGGCCTTAATAGAATTCCTACTGAATAAGATAACTTAGAGTGATTTTTGAGAGTGATTTTTGAGAATAATGTAGAGATAACTCAGAGTGATTTTTTGATTAGCTTAACTGATTTTTCTTCTCTCTGCAGATTGATTCAGCTATAGGATTTGGTTTAAATTTTGTTATATTGGATGGTATTTTGAGTTTTGCTATATAGGATTGAACATTCTCGACTTTTGAAGGTTCTTGGAAATGTTGATGGTTGTGCCATTTTTGCTTATATGTCATATGTCAACATTAAAAACAACTTTTTGTGACTATGTGATATGTAAAGCATCTATGTAAAGCTCGACTTTTTTGCATCTTCTTCAATATTGTAAATTTTTTTTTTCTCAAAATAGATAATGAGGTCAATAATCAAAGATTTTAAAGTGGTTCTATTTTATTTTGTAGAGTAGAATATAAACTGATTGCTCATTTTGGAGAATTGTGCATTTTTTTGTTACAAGGTTTGTATGGTGTATTTAATGGCATGTATATATTCTATTTTTTTTTACTCATACAATATGGCTCCAAAAAATAAGTATATAATGTAATAAGGGCAAAATTTGATGAATTCAAATAAATAAGTAAGGTATTTTTTAAAGGAAGTTAAAAAAATAGAAATAAAAAAGTATATATATTTAAGAAAGTTTCATGTATATTTAATTTTTTTTTACTCACTAACATATCTTTCTGTAACAACAGCATGGTTTCAACTAATATTAATATATTGTATTTAGAAAATGGAATTTTCATTTTTTCTAATCATCTATTTAAAAGAATCTATAAAATAATTTATTTAAAAATTGGATCATAATAGAAAAAATGTATGGCATAGACAAAGATGGCTTCACATTTGTATTTTGAATTACAAAAAGACTCTCACACAATTTAGAAGAAAACTCTACAATAGAACCAATTTTTTTCTACAATTAATATTAATACCCAACTATAAAGAGCTGCAAAATAATACAAATTGATTTAAAAGAGACTAGAGATTTACTCAAAGTGCCTCCTAGCAGACCTTATATGTAATTACACGTGAGAGCCTTCTAGGTGATAACGAACTCTGGTTCACGGCAGCAAAAGCCACTAATGTGGGGTCCCTTCTTCTGTATCACTGGTGACTTTCCATACTCTACACAAACTAAACTAAACTAAACTGTGAAACTAAACTACACAAACTACTTCCCATCATCATATAACTTATACCAAGGCTCTCATCGGTTGGACCATTGGAACTCCACTTCTAAAGTTCTCGGCGTTCCGTCCCGGTTCGTCTCAGGTTGCAATGTATACTGCCCACTAATGGTTCCCTGCATCACAACTCTGTCTATCTGAATAGTCACCTTTCCTAACGAACCCTGTAGAGGATACAACACAATACGGAGATGGGGTTAGTCCTTCACCTTCGACTAGCTAGAGCATATCAACCATTGGTCCTTGTGGCTACGTATAATGCAAACAGCTGTGGGCTAATAAAAAAGTGGACTGAAAAAAGGTATCAGCTGCAAAGACAATTTACTACCGATCATCCTGTTTTGCATGCCAGAAAGACGAAAGTAACATGTAGCTATATCGTCTGTGCAATTCCATCTGGTGCAATTACTGACCTTGCCAAAAGCACCCTTGTTTCTACAAGAGATGTGAAGCTTTTGTCCTTTGGGTGGATAGTCATACGCCCATGCAAAACCTTGCTTCCACTGCGGAGACACGCTTTGATTCACAACCTGCACCAAACAGGACGACATTCATCAAAGCTGAGCACCAAGTCAGGCGTACTACGTCGACTCAGATCGGACGGGATGAGATCCACAACACTTGTTTTTTTACATCGCCAATGCAGAAATCTCAGTCAAGGTAAACAAATGTACACCGACCACACGTGCGCACTGCCAGTACCCCGATTGAACATCTTTTTTCAGTATTAATCAATACTTCTACAACTCACATGCATCCTCCACTCACGGTTCTATAACCATGCATTCTATGTTCGTAGTTGCAAAACAAATCCAGAGAAGAAGCTAGAGGTCTCCGCACACCTTTGTCTGACGTGGGGGACCATTGCCAAGTGTCAACTTGCAGAAGGCGTTTGTGCTCCCCACGGATTGCTTCAGGTTAAGACCTTGCTTCACGGTCACCACCAAGCTGCCAGGTAAACATTGCAGTAGAATTTCAGCCTTCTCGACGAACCGTGGCGGCCCCTCTCTAACCAAGTACTGAAGAATTGGTATCGCTTCGGCTGCGGCCATGGCTTGCGCCTTCCCTACTTCCGCGGGACTATCTGCCCAGTCCTCCTGCAGCAGGAACAGACCATCCAGCGCAGCTTCCTGTGCTACCTCGTTTCCAGCCTTCAAAGCACCCACTAGCTGTGCAATGCTCTGCGTGGCCTCGTCAGTCGACCGCAGTCGGGGGAAGTTTCCCAGCATCACGGTTAATGCCCTTGCAACGTCTTCATTCACAGAGGCGGTGGCCCAGAGATCCTTCTCCAGGGCAGCTGTTCCAAACAATAGTTCAAGCTCAACATCAAGCTCCAACACGCAACAAGTAAACTGGTCACTCTAGACAGGGGAGAATATTAGCTTCTTTACCATCACAACAATACCGGTAACTTTCACTCAATTGTCAACTCACCTGCTAGAGCCAGGATCATTTCACTGGAAGCATATTCTTGTATCGTGTGATTTGCGAACAACTGCCCGATCAATATAGCTGCTTGCCCTACGCTCTCCGAGTTGCTAGACGCCAAAAGCTCCTGAACCACCTGAACACCCCCAGCCTCTGCGACAGCTCGCTTGTTCGCACGGCTGCTGACCACCACGTTCTGCAATGCGCACACCGATACTACCTTCATCTCCTCGGTCGGCTGGTCCTCCAGCAGGTTGACTAGTGCTCGACAGGCTGAAACTGCATCACTGCTGCGGGACAGGCCTTCGTGTTGAAATAAGTCACCAAGAGCAAGAGCTGCCAGAAGGCGAGCCGGCTGTGTGCGCGTCTGAGGATCCAGCAAATACTGCGATAATGGCGAGATTGCAAGCCTCGCCGCCTTCGCATCCCGCACCTTGAAGTTGTTGAACAAAGCCTCCAAAAGACGGGCTGCCGCTTCCTCACACTGGTGGCACCGCAGCAGCTCCAACAAGGCTTCCACGGCTCCTGCCTCGGCCATGCCCTCAGCGCTGCACGAATCTTCCCTCTCCAGCAAAATCAGGGCGTTCAACGCCACCACTACTATTGCCACGTTGCTGGACCGCAACAACTTCACCAGCACTGCTAGAGGCACCTTAAAGTAGTATTGGGAACTAAACCGAAGCACGTTTGACAGCACCAGGGCTGCTGCCTCCCACAGAGCGTGAAGCGGCTGTGGATCCGTCTGCAGCAATAGACCAGAGAGCTCAGTGATGCCCCCTGCATCCGCGATCGCATTCGGCCAGCTGCTCGACGCACTCTCCAATGCTCGTATCGCCTCTTTCTGCAGGCTCGGCACTCCCACCCCTACCAATCTCACAAGTGCAGCCACCGCTTGTTGCGTAAACACGTCACGCTGGAATTGCTCCAGCGCCAGAAGGTGGGACAGAAGCTCTGCAGCCAGCTGCTGGACGGGTTGGGATGAGGAATCCAGCAACAGAACGAGGGGCTCGATGGCCTGATTAGGTGTCAAAGTCAGGTTCGCCAGACGCTGCGGTTTTTCGAAAATGTTCACCAAAACTTGCATTGCACTGTGCAGCCCGGAAGTGCTCAAATCCGACCGAGTCAAGGAAAAGAAAAGCGGCTCCACAACCTTGGCTGCCGCCACTCCCTTGGCAATATTGCTGTTGTTCGTCAGAATGCGCAGCAGCTCCGCACACAGTGCACACAGCGAATCTGGAGCTTCCGGAAGTATGTCCAGCACGTTGTTAATGATGCCGCCTTTCACCATGTCCAACTTGCATAAAGGACGGTCCTTCGCCAGCTTGATGAGCCCACTCACTGCAGACTCGTGCAGACTGAAATTGGTTCCAACCACTAGGTCCACCAGAGGCATCACGGCCCCATTGGCAGCAACAGCCTCAGCCTGTTGCTCGTCGTCCAGCAGATTGTCCAGCGCACAAGCGCCGGCGTATTGGGCAGAGGGTGAATCCACATCCAGCAGTGCCACCAAGGGAGAGATGCAACAGGTTGCCTCCGGAGTGGACCGAACTCGAGGGTTGTTGACCAGCGTTCGGCAAAGGTTGGCAGCATCCTCTTTCAGTTCCAGCGAGCAGTCCGACAGCAGCACCCTGCACACTCCCTCCACGGCGTTGGCCTCAGAATCAGCGATGGCCAATACCTTAGAAGGGTTGTCCTCCGAAAGCGTGATGAGTGCACTGATAGCAACGCGCTGCTCCTTTTCCACTCCGGAGCTCAGCATTTCCACCAGCGGGGCGATGGCTTGTCCAGCTGCATGCCCTACTCTGATGTGCTCCGCGGCAAACAGCTCCTGCAATGCCCTGGCCGCACTCAGACGAGAGCCCCGACTCCCGAAACGTAGAACAGCAACCAACTGTTCCAAAGCACACACCGCAGAATCGTGTCGGCGCAGCTCTGGAGAGGTAAAAAGGATCCTCAAAAGATCTGCTGTAGCTTCTTCGATCACATCCTTTGGCCCGATAGACAAGTACTTGGTTAACCCATCCAAAGCACCAGCTTCTGTCATTGCAAGTTTGTTCACGTTGTTGTCGTTGGCCAGCTGAGTGAGCAGACCAAGAGCAAGAGGTGCAGCACCTGGACGATCAGCAAGAGGCTTCAACAAATTCACGAGCATTGGGATGGCCTTCCGAGCAGTTGCCCCAACCCGAATGTCGTCCACTCGGAATAACCATTCCAGTGCAACCTCATCGGGATGGCCGTGGAGTCCAAACTCCTTCGACAGAGAAACAAGCTTGCTGATATCCGACGCTGACATGCCCAACATCTGAATCAAACCTCCTGCAGCCCCTGAATTGGCCACCGCCAGCAAGGTGCCACGGTTGCCATTGCACACCAGGCTGGCTAAAGCTTGAGCTGCAAAGTATCGATCGATTGTCTCTTGCGACTTCAACAAGGTAACTAGTGATGGTATCGCTCGCATTATTGCAGGAGCCCGCGTCACATCTCTGTCAGAGAACAAAATCGCAAGCAGGAGTGCACTTACCCACGTACTCCCATTGTCCTCCACTTCAGCCTAAATTCCATAATGTTTCCACACCAAGTAAGGAACTCATCCCATGTTCCATGAACGCTCTGAATACCAAACTGAAACCCTTCATTTGTCTCAATAATCACATCGTATTGCAAGATCAAGCTTGTCAATGTCCACTCCACCACCATGCCAAAACACACACTCAATTTTCTACAAACGGCAGCAGGACGCCACAAAATACCAAGTGTGAGCAATCGGCACGCATCACAGACCCATCGATACATGACAAAAATAAATACTCCAACGAACAAAACAATCTCACCTCACGAGCATTGGGTGCGAATATTGCAAGCTTCTCGGTCACAACTTCGATTGCACCTGCTTCCGTGATTGCAAGCTTGCTCAGACCATCAATTGAAGCAATCACACACAGCAACCACAGAGCAGCTGTGCCTCCTGATATCTGCGCAGGCCCGTAATCCAAAAATACGCCCCCATCCGCTCCATCATGTGCTTTCTCCTTCCTCCTGGATACACCACTTTCATCAACAGTGAACGTCACATCTTCCTCTTCACTATCACAGGTGCCAAGTTCATCCCCTGTCTCTTCCAAAGACTTGAAGCTTATCATATCGACTAAGGATCGGACAAGCTCCACAGAGAACCCAGCTTCACGAAGAGCTACCATAGTCACAAGCCGGTGCTCCTTTGCCGCACAGATCAGCAACGCAGTGCCTCCAACCTTCACCTCCAAGCTTGACGACTGAATGATGCGATCCGCTAGTGCTGCAATGCATTTCTGATTGTCGGCAATCAGATCGCCCAGAACCACTGGCTGATCTCGACACAGCCTTGACAGGACCTCAATGGCTTTCCCCTGCACTGTCGCCTCCCCCACTGCAAGACACGTTACTAGAGGACTCATGCTGAATGGGGCTTCTGCCAAGACGGCCCACAGTGGATGACCGAATGAACCGCCTCTACTCGTTGTCCTTGCCAACGATGCAAGAGCCTCAAGGGCTTCAGACGTCGAGCTCTCTTCCGAGTTCCCAGCGGCAAGAAGAGATACCAGCGCCAGGACAGTGCCGCACTGATGCACACGCTCCACCATCACATCGTTCACATGCTGAGACCGAAGCAACCGGGCAACTGCTCCAGCGGCATGCTCCTTGCCCTCTAAGCTGCCCTCCTGCAGCGTTCGCGTGAGGGGTAATATGATATCCTCAGCAGGTGCCTTTTCGGCTATCTCCACGTCCAGCATAAGGTTCGCCACAGCCGTGGTCGCAACTTCCGCCACACTGATGCTCGAAGACCTAGCCAAACTGATCAAGGGCAACATGGCATCCTTGCCCACCGACGCAACCTTCTGATTCTGCCTGATGCACCCGAATAGAGCGCCTAGTGCCCGCGCTGCCTGCAGCGCAATCTGCTCGCTGGCTTCACTCACAAGCTTGATCAATGGAGGAATCGCCTTCACAATATCCGGGCTCTCGCATACATCTGGCCTGCAAGCAAAGATCTCTGCCAAAACGGAAGCTGAGTGCTCCTGGGTCTCGCATTTGCCGCTTCTCAGAAGCTCTATCAAAGTCTCCAGAGCCTCGTACGCCGGGGCGCCCTCCTGGAAAATATCCTCCTGGGAGGCCACGGAGAGCAAGCACCCCACCACGTGAAGAACGTGGACCTTCGAAACTGGCAACTCCTCGGTTAGCAATGCAGTCAAATTGCTAATGGTGCTCGCATCCGAATCCTGCACCAGTTGTGTCAGCGCTCTCGCTGCGATCCCTTGTCCCATGTAACCAGCATTCTTTAGCAACCCCAAAAGTGCAGGGACGGCCTCTGCTGTCTCCACACACACCCGAATATCTTCGCTGTGATTGCACAGGTTGCCAAGCACAACAGCCGAATCCTCTATCGCTTTCTCTGAACCGCTCTCAAGAAGTTGCACCAGTGGCGGGATCCCTCCGGCTGCAGTGATGGCCCATTTGCTCTCTTCTATCTCTTGCGTCATGATCGACAGCAACGAAGCTGCGTATTCCTGCTGCTGCTCCGTAGACTGGCCCAACAAGGATATCAGAAGCTGCACACCGTCCCGACCACGAAGCGCTTGCCACAGATCTCTGTGCCCGCAACAGATGTCCATCAGAGACATCGTCAGGCTCTCTTGCATCTCACCGCTGGCCATCATGATCAATCCAACCACCATCTTCTTCCCTTCCGAATGCTCTAAACCCCGTGCCAGGTACCCATTGCCATACAGACTCATCAGAGCTCCAATCGTGCGCTCCTGAATCAACACCGAAGTGTGGTGCCCAAGATGCTTCATCAGAACCTCCTCCACATGAAGAGGGTGTACGGCTTCCACTGATTCGTCACTGTCGTCCAAAACCTTGAGTGCATACGCCAATGCTCCGATGGCTTCGGCTGTCTTCACTTCGGACTGCCCCTTGGAGCTAATAATTTCGCCAAGAGTCACGATCAGAGCAGGCAGACCTCCAAGTATGTTGGCAGATGCACCAAGAGCGTTCTCCTGCAGAGCTTGGATGAACTTATCTTGCATCACCCCCTTGGAGGTGCCAACCGTTTCGCGGATCAACTTGTCCATCCCACCAGCAGCTTTTATAGCGTACCTAGATTCCCAGTTGTTAGCAGAAAGAGCTTGTAGAGCACCGGCCGCTTCAGCTCGCACTGAAACATCCTCGGCGCTTAAAAGCTGCAGCAATGGTCCCATGGCTCCGGCGTGCAGCACCAGCTCACCGCTATCCTCAACTGCTGACATCAGACTCGCCATCAGAGACGCTGCATTCCTCTCCGTTTGCGCATGTCCAGATGCCAGCAGCCTCACCAGAATACCGACACCGCCAGCATCCAGCGTGGCAGGCCAAAAGCCTTCGCTGCTGTTGCACAGGTTGCGAAGGGCTCCAGTCAGCAATCCAGGAAGAGAAGGGTCCAGGCTAAGTCTCGGCTGGAGCTGCTCCCACAAGCTCACAACCACCCCTTCCGTGGAAAAGATTTTCGACCCAACGTGATCCTTTGCACCTCCCTGAGACACGGCATTCAGGGCACGAGCCGCCACCGTCTGTGCCTCAGGAGAATCGGACTTCAGCAGTGCCAGGAGAGGTGGAATGCAACCCCCTAGTAACACTTTTACGCGCAGGTCCTCTTCCTTGCACAACACCCCCAGGATTGCGGCAGCATTCACTCTAGCAACCAAGGATCCAGATCGAACCAGCCCAACCAGTGCAGGCACAGCCTGTGGGTGAGAACCAACTGCCGCTCGAGCGGCCTCTTGGGTATCGGCCAATTCGAACACAATCCTAGAAGTGATCTCCTTCTCTTCTGTCGACGTGGACGTTGAGCGAAGTTGTTCAATGCAATCCGACATTTTCGCCACTATCCCATCAGATACGACCTCCTCCTCCTCCTCCTCTGCTGATGCCGGTGCGGACAACATTGCTAGGATCTGTTCAATTTTGCAGTTCGCAGCTCCTGACTCCACCTCCTCCATGTCTGAAAGGTTGCTCCATTGCCTGCACAGGACACTCACTGCTTTAGATCTTCTGGTCGAAAATGTCGCACCTAATAGACATCCACAATTTCGAGCGCGTAGTAAGCTATAAAAATCTTGGCTTTTGTGACACGTGCATTCGCACCGTATCCTCGAAGGCTTTCAGTTACACGCTCTAAAATGAATCCGAAAAGGAGAAGGCTACTTGGCACATGCTTGACCCTCAAATCAAACCCATGACTGAAACTGCAAGAAACATACCTTGTCAGCAAATTTGCTACGAGTGACTCGGGGGTCTCGGGTAACTCCTTGCTTACTGGTGCCGACTGGGGAGCCTCGGCCGACGTGAGAGTTTCCGGCGTCTGCGAACGCAGCTCCTCAGCCTGTGCCATCTCCTGCGCTCAAACCAATTACTCGTCAATAAGTACACAACCGCCAAAACGAGGCTGTCGTTAGACAAGCAGGTCACTGCGCTGAAGTGTGCAAGCCAGCACCCACAATCGCAAAGACTAATCGAGTTAACCATCGGCTGCTATCTTCTCACTCAAACCGGGAAATATAAATAAATAAGAATGATGGGAATTTGTAAATCATTATTGGATGATCCTGCTCATGGTATGAGCTCGACTCCATCTACTGTAATTATATTTCGACAAGCACACTTCCAGACTACGGCGGTCCACATACAGAAACGTTACACTAATGGAACCAATCGTGCGGATTCGGAGACGCTCTATCAAACGCAAGTCCAATACGAAGCCAACCGCAATGCACCTGCCACGACTCTCAACCTCCGAATTCAAAAGAAATGCTCGCAACTCAGTCCATGATGTATCAACATCTGCCATTCCAGCAACCAGGACGGAGCTCAAGCCACACCACGATCTTCGTCAAATCCACTCACCAAACACGCTTCCTGCTACAATACGATGGGCAGAGGAAGAAAATGTGCGCCAACATAATCAGGCTGCAGCTTCACAAGCATGTTTCCGCATAGAAAGGCACTCAAAATTTTACTACTGAATCACCAAACAAGGAGTCACCGATTGGCGATCTGGTCGAAGAAAATCTGATGACTCGACAGCCCTGCGAGGAGACGCCACTGATCGCCAGTGATTATAGCTCCGAGGAGAGACAAGAAACAGAGACACCACGAATTGCGAAGCACCTATCTGGTGCACGTATCTGACTCTCGAGCAGCTACAAGATCCTCTCGCTGCTCATACGTGCAACTAACTCACCAAACAATGTACTCCCTCGCTTCCCCATTTCTAAAGTGTCCAATGTCACAAAAATGCACACGCATGCCCACAGCCGAGCTGCGTTCTCCGCCACGAGCAAAACCTCAACCTCGCACCCATCAACATCAACAACACTGCAGAATCCAACTTCCAGCATAACACAGGCGCAAACCTGGGAATGCTGAGAATCGGGCATGGCGTCGGCGGATCAACTCAGCAAGCCCATCCACATACCCCACACTCTCTGAGTCCTTGCAAACTCCACAAAATATACCTCCCTCCTCCTGAGCCCCCTTCGTGGGCTTCCTCAGTCCCGGCGAAACGCCCCCACCTTGCTCAGAAACGTCTTTCCCCTCACGTGACCATTCTCAAGGGCGACTCCTCCGCCTCTGCAGCTATGCATCTCACTCGAGACCCCGCTGAATAATTGGATCCAACTGCATCACTCATGCATCAACGCCACTCAATTCACCACTCGACGAAACTAAGCTGCACCAAGCTTTACAGTCTCGCCCCGCTGGGCCCAACCCAAGAAACCAAACAGTCTGCTTTCTATGGTGGGGTATTCACGCTGGAGACAAGCGACACGTTCCATCAAACCCCCCCCCCCCCTCGCAATCACCCGAACCTAACGAACAACAGACATCATGCCTCTAGACCTCCTGGAAGGTGAATAATACGTCACAGCTATAATACAAGCTAATCGCCGCAGACTCGAAGGACCGTCGCCACAGAGCCCAGCAGAGCAGAGCATGAGCATCCCCGAATGAATGAAAAGCACTGTAGTCATGCACCTGCCAAAACCCACGGGACACCGAACTGGGTGGGACAAAACCGGCGACGACCCGTCTCCCCAACAAATCAGCTTCTACGTCTCCGTATGCAGGCTTGCCCCCAAGGAAGTGGCGCTATGGCGCCTGAGCTGGGTCTGCAATAGAACCAGCACTCCCCTCTCCTGTCTGCCTGCCAGAAAAATGTCTACTAGTCGGCCAGGCTGCGAGTGTCAGAGACGAGGAGGACAGTGGCCCAGATAAGACAACCAGACAACAGACACTCCTCACCACACTCACACTCCCACTCCCACTCATGTATACTCCACGCTACTTCCCAGCACCCCAATTATGGACCCGCCCTCAAGTCTTCCCTTCCACCTCCCGCAATCGCACGCTCCTGTCATAGTCCATTGCATGCATTCTGCACCTGAACAAGCCGACTTAAGAGCAGAACCGGAAGCGATCGAAAACCACGCTTACATACTTTACACCTTTCTTAACGGACCCGTTGGACGGAGACTTGACGAGCGACGATTCAACGACGACGGAGACGCAGCAGCGGCGAGAATAGTGAGCGGATGCGGGCCACCCACCCAGTTCGGAGTTGGTAGACAGACTGTGGTAGTATTAGTGTGTGTGTGTGTGAGAGTGTGTGTTAGAGTGTGTGTGTCCTGGGGAAGATCGATAGCTGCGACCATGCAGTTGTTGTAACTGTGGGTACTCACTCACTTACTTACATACTCGAATCTTAACAGGGGAATGAATGAGTAATCCTCAACTGCGATTGGATTCCACCGACGGCCCATCGAGTCCTGTTTTTCTGATGCCTCCGAATGCGGCCTTTTTTCCAGAGACTCGTCGCGACGACGCCGTCTCCGTTCACGATGGTGCTCTCATTGATTGGGGGTCAGGATTTTGTCACGTCTCGATTTTTTGTCTCGTTGTTGTTTTGTTTCTATTTTAATAAATAAATAAATAAATAAATAACAGAAAATGTGGTATGCATAGTTCTTGGATTTGGATGTGGGGATTTCGATTCAGCACAAACTTTTTTTGCTATGGGTTGTGTCATGGGGATGTTGGAGATGTAGATTTATCGAATTGTCTTAAGTGGTTTTGCTCTTTTGTTTTAGATTGAATTAGCAAGTCACAATGAGACCATCTTAATTTCTATTCCATTGTTAAGTTGGATTTTATTTAAACCATATTTCTAATTACTTAAATTTTCTTTCATTATTTTTTGAGAATGATTTTTTTATTGTCTTGTTTGTTTCCATGCATTTGGATATTATTTTTCTTTTATAAGATTTGTCTATTTGTAATTAACATTAATATATAATGATATTTTATCTTTTTTAGTCTAATAACTATTTTTCCACAAGTTTTCACAAATTCTAAAGTTATGATTTATAAGAAGTATTAGAAGAAACAAGATCGTTTTTAATTGGAACAATCTAATTTCTAATTTTAGAAGCTTAATTTTTTTTTGTATAGCTTATCAATCAAATAGTATGAATATGAGCTTGGAATTTATAACCAATATTAATAATTTTTTTGGTTGATTTCTAATTTTTTTGGTTGTTTTTAAACTAAAGAATTTTATGCATATATGTCAAATTAATGTGTAGTTGTTTTTTTTAAAACTATTCTTACATTATTTAGTAGATCTTTGTTGTTGGATATTTAAATCAATTATAAAAAAATATTGGATCTTACTAAATTATTTTCTTCTAAATTTCAATTCAATCTTTTTTGGATGTGAATGTAAATATGAGGCAATTTATGTCCACATCATTTCTATTGTGATCCAATTTTTAATTTAATATGTGGTCTAGGACTAGATGTTAAGGCAAAATCTATCTAAAATTTTGTTTGCAACTTAAGCTATCAATTTTAAAAAGATAAATTATAAATTATTAAGTTTTTTTTAGTACCAATTCAAAAATAATAACTAATTTGCTCAAATAATTGTATTTTAAAACACATAATTTCCTTGTAGTTGTACTAATACATTCAAGTGTTTCTAAAAACATATTCATTTCAATTGCATTTCAAATTCTTACAATAGTAAGAATTTTAAAATTCATCTTTTATAAATATCTTTTAAAATTAAATCCTTAATTTTTTTATTTGAAAGATATTGTTTGAACTTGTACATTTCAATAGACAAATATATTGATTATCCCTATTTGTGATTTTTAAATTTCGTAGTCTAATGTAGACATTGAGTTTTTGGTTTTTTTTTTGCTAAACATATATTGAGTTTTGGATAAGAGAAGTGGTGATGTCTTTTGTTTTATAATTTTACGTCAAATGTTTTAATATCTAAACAAGATTATTAAGTAGAGTTAATAAAGTATTTACAACCATCATCAAATACACCAAAATTAGAAAATATTGCATTTTTTTCTATGTCAAATCATGATTCTATGTCAAGATACTAATAAATTGGTATTCAAGTATTACCTGTGCACTGGGAAACAAGAATTCAAGTCTCGATTATGTCAATTAGACGTTGAGGCACGGTTGCATCTCACCTTAAGGCCTACTGTTGTCCATTTTTACCTTGAAGTTCTGTGTTGTCTGTTTCAGCTTTTAGGAGCTGCTTGATATATGAGGGCCTAAAGAGCTATAAAACATGTTGGTAGATGGGTTACTCCTTATTAGAACGTACACCTTATGCTTTTGGGTTTTGATTATAACTATGTAACAGCAAACGATTAAGTCATTTATTATGGATCGCTATATTGACAGAAAGCATTACAATGTCTTCCTAGCGTTGTGTACAATCAAATTCTCAAATAATTTAGCAATACAAAACCTCGAGACCCCATCGTAGTTTCTACTCTGCGGACTTCAGTTCTAGATGCTAACTATCAAATTTTATCTGCGAAACTTTTCTTTGCAACTGCTGCAGGCTTGACCAAAGCTGAAAGGGTCACCTTTTGCGAAGCATCGTTGACCACTTCGCTGGAGAATGGGACATCGAATACTAAAGCTTTATAAAGACAAACTTGATCTTCCTTGCAAAAATAGACCTGCACGTTCCGATTTTATGGATGTGAAATCTCAGCACTGCTAAATCTGAACTGTTAACATGTACTGCAAGTCATCTGCTTACAAATGGGTACAAACCTTCAACTCATACAATGAGATGTAAACGGCATATTCATATTGGATGAAAGACAGTTCAGTGCAGATAGATCACGTATCATATTCAACAGAAAGTTTAAAATCCTTGCGCACTACAAATTCTCTAATTAATTTTACAAGATCGCTATCAGGGTTGCATCTCTCACCTTGCAAGATACTCGAGTAGTAAATTTAGAAGCGGAATTAAGATCTCTCTTAAAATGAATTATCGCATTGCCGTCAGGTCCAATAGTGCCTGTGGCAGGATCCAGGGTTACGCCACTGTCCATCTCCAGTTCTACCTCGTACTTGCTTTGAGCCTCCTGCGTAATTTTCATCAAATGTGAAGAAAGTATATGAGAACTGCTGAAGAGGATCAACTAACCAAAACCAAGAGAGAACCACCAAACGTAGACTAATAGTATTATTCTCCAAAAAAGGGACAGTGGTTCAGCTTCCAAATTTAGGCTGGGTATGCAAGAGGCAAGGGATAATAACTCACATTACTGAAATGGTACCCAGGAGCAAGTGAAATTTGAAGCTGCAAGTCACCATTAAGAGAAGTAATTGGATCGATGCGTATCACTTGCGTGTCGGATGAAAGCCGCTGTCGAAGTCGTCGAGGACCGGTAGGTGCAGCAACACTCGGTGGCTGTACACCTTTCAACTCCAGAGTTTCTATCTTAGGTCCACCTTGTGCCTGAAGGTCTAGAACTCTGATGAGGCTGTTGTTGGTATCAGCTACATAAAGCTTACCTGCAGGTGCACATCATATCCCAATGAAAAAACCTGAAACATTGTCTTGGCGTGGATTCAATATTCAATCCTAACACATGATACTCTAGTTGGAGCTGTGAATTTGAGTGATCTTGCAACTCGAAAACCAGCTTTTGAACGGTATCATATTCACGACATAATACTCAGTTGATCTCTTCAGAAAAGTGGACATGCACTAAACTCTTGTCAAGATTCCTAATGATGACTCACTGAAATTAAAGTTTTTACACATCCTTAAGAAAATGAAAAAGAGGTTACCGTCTGGACCCAGTGCGATTCCAGCGGGCTCTGACAGCTGCGGACAAAATAAAAACGTACTTAGAAGTCAATGCACCGTAGAGCTTCCTTTCGAATCATACACCAATGTCAGAAGGCAAATTTTAGCTTCATACACTCCAATTTCCATAAATTTACGGGTATTGCTACTGTTAAAAGCGTCTTGAAATGTCAGAGGATGCTTCCCAAATTATTTAGAGAAGAATGAAAGGAGGTAACCTCGCAAAATAGAAGAGGATTTTATTTGAATTTCAGGATTTCCTGACATTAATTCATTCTGTGTCGATAGCTGACCAGGAACTTCATGGAAAGAGGGTAATCTCCAGTCAAGACATGATGCTGCCTTCTTTACTCTCACCAACAGGAAATAATCAGAAAAGAATGAATTACCTGTCCTTCCTGAGCCGTCCCATCCTTAAATCCAGCAGTTCCAGTGCCGGCTAGTGTGGTGACCTTTTGGGTACTTGGATTGAGAACTTTTATCTGCAAGCAGGATACTCCAATGTGAAACATGCTTTTGTCGTCAGGGATAAAAGACACAACAACATCAGCTTCCGTATGCGTACAAATCATTGTCTGGTACTTTTGATATAATCAATGACCAACCTTCTTTTCGATCAAGATTTAAGACCTGATCAACTAGCAGAACAGCTCTTTCAGGTCTTCTAATATTCAATAGTACGCAATATCTATACGTTAAAGCTCCAGAGTGTAAAGGAGACTCTGGCGCGCCTAAGCCTACAGTGGCATGCAAAATCGCTCCTATTTAAAATTTTGACAATAAATTAAGTGTGAACTCAAAATTGAAGGTGTAACCAAGTCGATCAACTTCACAGGTTATGATTACGTGGAAAACATGCCCACTTTTTCAAGTATTTGTTGAGGTTATGTGCAAAAGAACTAGAAGGTTCTTTAGAATTGAGTCATGTAAGCAAAGTGTCCTGGTAGCGCAGAACTTGCCTTGTGATTATAGGAGTCAGCAACATAAACCAGCCCTTCTGAACTGTATAGAACTCCTAATGGATGCTGCAATTGAGCATTGGAACCTACTCCATCCCTGTCACCAAACTGCACACCAGAACGGAATTCAACTTTAGTAATCTCCTCAAAATGACTACAATTCTAATGTTACCTGTCAATGACCTGAAAAACAATATGGAATATATTATGTGCGAATGATGGTTTCACTTCACTTAGTTACGAAACTAACCTGAAATAGATTATCTGAAAATGTTGGATCACCACCCGCTAACAATTTAGAACCTCCCGTCGTCATGTCCACTCTTCGGATAGAACTGCTCTCGCTGTCGGCAAGATACATATATTTGAAATCTATAGTAACATAGTCTGGTCAGAAGAATTTATAAAAGAAGCTATGCTCTGGTAGTTTACAGGTAATAACAATATAACATCATAAAATACCAAAAGTGAGGATTTGAACTTGAAAGCAAAACGAAAACCAAATATTTATACCTGGTGTAAAAGAGATTCCAGATGGTTGGGCATACGAAGTATCTTTTCCCCTGTTCCACAATCGAAAAACGAATTTTATACCTTTTAAAGTGAAAACCACCTCAAAAAAACCGTAACAAAAATTTTTAAAATGACAAATGGATATGTAATGGTCTATTCACCATGACATTCAAAGCTCGAAGAGGAAAGAAACAAGAACTGCAGATCCACCAGTTAAGAAATAAGTGATAAGAAGAGGATTCGCGTGTGAGACCTTTTTCCATTTTGGTTTCGCTCATAACCATCCCCACTAAACACTTCAGCTCTTCCATCTGCAATATTATAGCGCCAAATCTGATGCTGACCAGCCATTGCGATGTATACGAAGCCACCCTCTGCATCGTGAGCGACGTCCCAGGGTGAATTCAGGACCTGATCAGACAAATCAAAACCCAGCAACGTGTCAATGTTAACTGGCCGTGACCAAAATCCTTTCATTCTGTGTAAAATCTGCCACATTGAAATCGCCCATTAGAGCACAATCCCATTGAATCTAGAATTCAAACTAAAACACAACAAAAATATGAGTTTATGACTGGAGCCTTCGAAGTACCTGGGCTGAACCCTTCTTGCCACCCCGGTAATCTGAACCCTTGATACCGTTTCCAGCGAGCGTTCGGACTGTCTCTTTAGCAAGATCTATTTCTCTGAAAATGTCTTAATTTTAGCTTGAGAAAGCTTCAAGCAAGTGTGCACAGCAATGCGTTGAGGGAGGCATAATGTGCGCATTAACATGGATATTGAAAAGCATTGCCATCATCAATCAATCAATCAATCAATCTTGATGTATGTACTTTGCATAGATTATATTATGCAAACAATGCCAGACGAATTCGCCTGAACTTTAAAGACACAGATCGGCACACCGTTTCGGCGGGAGTTATTTATTTTTGAAATTCTTCAAGCAGGGTGAAAGGAAACACAAGGGTATTAGAGGTCTACAAAATGAGAACATACGACAAGACTTGATCCTTTCAGCTCCTATGGAGCTTAGAATATGTCAAGGAGAGCATACAAGCATCGAAAAGTGCAAGAGAATTACCTCAAAGCATGATTTTCAGTATCAGCAACATAAAGCACGTTCTTGAATGCGTTGTAAGCCACACCCTACACACCAGAGAAAACCTTGCCGAGTTGTAGAAATGAGGCAAAACTTATAATCAAAAAGAAGAAACGAAATATATCAATACTGGTAAAGTAATAACAAACCTGAGGTCGGTTGAACAAAGAAGTCTCAAAAGATCCGTCTTTCAGACCCTCTCCTCCACCTCCAACATTCACGATGAAATTCCCATCCAAATCAGTTACCACCTGGTTTCAAATCATTGGTCGTCAAACATCATCATATTGCTTTGATACTTGAATCCAACTCTAAGAGATATAAAGTTCATGCAAACTGAAAGAAAGACACACATCTAATTTGCATTCGAATCCACGAAAACAAACTATTTAATTCAGAAATATTGTTTTAAAATCAAAACAAAGCATTTGTTACAAAACAGGCTATGACAGTCCAACCTCCATATATCAAATACCACGCTTTTCAGCCCTAACTTGAAAATTTTAAATTTTAAAAGAATTGAAAATGGACATCCAACTAGAAAAAGCAACATTTAATTATTATTCATATGTTAGAATAATAGAAAACATCTCCGTAGAAGAATTGCCTTCCGTAAATGTCATTGTCGTGAGTTGCTCTGCAATACATTCTAAATTGGAGACCGCTAATTTTATCAACTGGTTTTTAAGAATTATATGGTTTTAAAGAATCTTTTTCATTTTTAATGTGAACATAATTTCTTAACTTTTAAAAACATATCTGATGGACAAGTTCGAAAATTGGTGCCTCCCAAGGTTTAATATATGTTGTGTGCAGGCTGTTGCTCAAATCCTCAGAGTAGACCACCACATCCTTGCCACATTCAAGACATGGAAATTCGTAAGATTCAAGTATGAGTTTTGATCTTACAATACGGTGATGGTTGCTGTCGGATATGAACAGGCGACCATTAACAAGATCTGTTGTCAGTTTTCCAGGAAACTTAAGAGGTGACGCAACAAGGCGAGAGTCCTTGTCCCTCTCTAAGCTTGGAATGAGAGGCTTAGCGTCCAAAAGATTCTTCTCTCCATAGAATTCAAGTGATGCCTCTAAGAGATCATCCAGATCCTATCTTCAACACACAGAAAATCGATTAAATGCCGTCGCACTTCGCTTCACAAGCATAAGCTTACTTGTACACGAGAGTCCTATTTCTTGTTAGAGAATATTAGAAACAAAGGTAAGATTGAGCCAAGAAATCACCTCTCGATGACCCTCTCCGGACAACATGGCAATCAATCTGCCTTTTGGGCTTACTACTGCCAGAGTCGGCCATGAGCTCACGCCTAATTGCCTCCACATAGTCATCTCTCCATCATTTACCACCTGTCAGAGCATCCATCCACCCCATTTTGCTCAATTCCACGTTGATAATGAACTAGAGAAATTCTAAGTCTCAGCATTTTCACGCCCAAAAAAAATATTGTTCGTTCTTACACAAAAAATCTCTTTAATAGGATGCCGCAAGCATCACTCAGTATAAACAATAGTTTTAGGATTACTGAAGGAGCATGTGCATACTAAGGAAAGAATAATTGTGCTCCAAGCTGGGAGCAAGGAAATAAGTTACCGGGTGAGTGACATCGTAACGGAGAACAGCGTTCCGAATGGCTGCGGAATCTTTTTCATTGTCGAATTTAGCAGAGTGCACTCCGATCACAGTCATCTGTAATCCACCCACACTTTACCCCTGTAAGATCTTTGGTAATAGAAGAAATTGGAGGTTTTCGTGTATCTCAAATTCGAGCACCATACTATCGACCTGCAGTAGATAATAAAAGTCTCACTTACCGGCTGGTCTTTGTACTTTTTCTCCAAGAATGCAAGATCCGGGAGTATATGCATACAGTTTATGCAACAGTAAGTCCAGAAATCCAGCACCACAACTTTACCCTTCAAATCCTGTCATGTTGTCAAAGAGCAGATCAGTAGCCAACTTGTTGTCAAATCGCGGAACTAAGAGCTTGTGTAAACAGAATTAAATACAGAAATAACATGATGATGTTCACAAAATTGTCAGTACATCACGATCAGAAAAGAAAATGATGCCTGTGTTAAGGAGCAAACCTTCTTAAGTGACAAAGGAGCGGTGTTCAGCCACTCAAGCTTTGGTTGAAATTCAGGTACTACCTGTCCAGCTCCTCTGTCCACATAAGACGACCAAAGACTTATTTCAGGTGGGTAGAAAGATGTTCGAACTCCTCTTTAGATGTCTTGAGAACAACATTCAGGTTAGCAACTTAACATAAATGACAGAAAGAAACAATATCTCCATCTACAATGGAATAATGATAATAATAAATAAATAAATAAAGCAGAATTCGAGAACCATACTTTGACTCAATGTCGGTTATGTATTGCTTGAACTGACGAACGCGTTCTGGACGAGCCAGTTCTGCATAATCATCATTTGACAAATTTCGGCATTGTGAGCGAGAATAGTGGTAAGTGTTCTAAGTGTATTCATACAGATTATTCCTACTTCCCGTATCAAACACAATTCGTGTAATAAAGTAGAAATCAGACGCATAGGATATAGTGAAAAAGAGGAGAAAATGCGACAAGTAGCTTGAAAAGGGACGCTCAATTGATAACACTCCCATTTAACCTCGTGATCTCTAGCTGAGTGTAGCAGAATCGATAACTTCATTCCCTTATCATTCTTTCCAAATATCTATTTTTCACGCAATTACAAACCATGACATCTAACGTTCCAAAGATGTACTCCAAATGTGAAGCGTAAGGTGATAACAAGAATATGAAACTTAGAACAAAAAATGCTCAAGATCTTGATATAAGCATATCCTACCAGATCCATTCGCAAGAAGTGGCTGGCCAACACCTTGAAGAGCATTAAGTAAAGCCTTGGGGGACGCATAAGAAAGCGCCTACATCCTCAGAAACTATGCATCAGTAACATTCCCACATTTATACGAAGGCTACACGAACGAGCTGGCAGACGCCTCACAAAAACCAGCCTGAGCAAACCAGACAAAACGTATACGTCGAGTAAATTGAGATAAGGTGTCTGCCACTCATAATATGCATATAAGTTGCAAACTCTTTTTTCTCTTGAGAATGACACGGAGATTACAATAATAATCAGAACAGTCAGAATTCCACATGCACTCTCACCACTTTAAAAATGTTCAAAGATGCAACACTGAGCCTTCAAAGAACCGTGAGAAGATTAAAATCTAGATCAAGACCTAAATTCTCTAATACGACCCAAACACGAGCGGAAACACCAAACCTTGAGGTGAGTCGCACTGAAATAGGCGCTTCCTAAACCAATTGCAAGACTACCAAGCTTCAGCACCTCACGTCTAGTTGTGGAGAATCTGCATATATACCCAATTTGGGTTAAATTACTAGCAAAGTAGGCTATACTGCAGTGAAGCTTCAAGAAAATGCTTGAAAATGTTCCGACGGAGATCAAATTTGAAGACCGTATGCCACCGACCAGCCCCATTAGCATACGCACAATACACGAAAGTAAACACTCAGTACGGAAAAAAAATTGAAATTCCGATCATTTATTAAAACCAGCTGTTGTGGGCTGGAAGTAACAAGACACGAGGCAAGGTCTATGGCCTAACCCGCCAGGTAATGGAACTTCGGCATTAAGGGCTGCCTGATAACTGTTGCTCAAGCTAGGGTTCACATCCTTCGTAGCATAAGCACTTTCGAATCCGTGTCTTCCTGCAGCGATTATAACAGTACACATGTCGATTTATCCTTTCTATCCCATTTAGTTGCCTGTTTCGGTGCAAGCAAGACAAGTGAATGCCCATACCGACCCATCTAAGTTCCACACTCTGCTTTGATTAAGAGGACAAACCTAGCTCTTGAATATCCTTCAGTGTGATTCTAGAAATGTCCTTTCTAACCAGCTGGGGTCCGGCCTCCATCAGCTTCTCCTCGCTGAGAGTAGTTGTCACCGAAATACACCTGCTCCAAGGTACAAAGATCAGAAATTCGTAGCATCCAGAAACACACATATACACCTCCGTAGCCGTGAAACTATCAATCTTATCAAACTGGATTGTCATCAGGGGAACCTGGGTGAGCGAATTCAAAAATAAAAAAGAGTTTGTACCTCATGCCAGCCGCTCTAGCTGCCTGTATGCCAGCATATGCATCTTCAATCACTACACACTGCAATCAAAACATCGCATTACAGTGTCTCGTGATTGGAGATACATCACCTTAGCATCTGGAAAACATATTGAATACTTCTGTTCATGGACGCTACATGTGTCTGTCTGTGTACCTCATGTGTTGGCAGCCCCAGACTCTTTGCAGCTGCGATGAAAATGTCCGGAGCGGGCTTCAAATTCTCAAACAAATCCGCCGAAACTATCGCATCAAAGCTGCAAGCATCACGCTGTCAGAAAACACAGGTCCAGACCGCATCCACGTTATAGCAAGACAACACCTGCTTGTTACTGTCCATGCTTAGAAGGTCCTGATCGACAAAAAGGCAAACGGCGACAAGGCACTCACAATATACGACAATAAACATTTCCTTAACACCAAGAAATGTCAAGTAAAAATAATATCGTAGCGAAAGATGGCCTCCCAGCAACAGTAAACAAGATAAATTGGGTGGAACTATACTTGGATTGAGGGAAGCCTGCAGCTGCAAGGTTTGCGTCCACTTTGACTCTATCCGCACTCGACGCCACCGCGAGTTTAAGGCCGGCCTCTTTACACTGCCGTCACATACAACCAGCTCGTCAACACTACGAATACATTCCGCTCCAGGGACACAGGGATCGCACTCGTTCCTGCAGTCCTTTGCGAAAAGCATAGCGCAAAGATATAGGTCCTAATATTGTAATTGATGGAATTCTAATGTTGCAGTTGATGGGGATATTCAACCCTCACCTGGAGAATCAGGTCCAGAGCTCCAGGATATCCTAGTCCAGAATTTGGTGGGGCGAACTGCGACAAACAAGTGGCAGCAAACTCACCGTTAGGCCCGAAGCATTGTAGCCGAGAGTTACCAGGGGATTTCACGATTTAACGGCATCTGCCAGCAGTGCATATCAAAATGGTGGAAGTCCCCAGAATTATTGTGTGGATTTGTACAGCGATACCTTCTCAATGTAGATTTGGAAGAAGCGTCTTTTCGCTGAAACAGTGTCAAAATCCTTCACTCCGTACTTCTTCGCCACTCCGCCAAGAAAATTAGCTTCACCTGCACCCAAATGACATAGTTGTAAACTACAGCACGGTTTCATTCGTCCTGATAGTATTTACAATCCATCAGTTCTGTATCATCTCACGTCATGAATTCATCACGGAAAATCGCGACTCAGATCAGGACCCTTGATACTGTTAGGCCGTCGTCGAGGTAGATGTAAGAAGATACTAGGATACTCTTTCGTACAAAATCTTGCAGCAAGTTCCTATTTGAATTATTTCTCATCTTACTTGCTATGTTTTACTTCTTCACCTGATTCGTCTCTGTTGGTTTACTTTCATTTTTTCCTTATTTCTTGTCTCTTTTTCAGAGAAGGCGGACGAGTGAAGCGGGATGTTAGTTATGTCCCAAACTAACTGCGCTCAAATTTAGCAACACTGCTAACCGTACATAAATACTAAATACAGGGAAATGCAAGTAAGAGAAGAGAAGAAAATCTTCAAACCAGGATGCGATTCATCAGTTAAGTCGTTTAATTCAGTCTCTAGGCCCTGTAATCGTCAACACTAAACCGAAACCAACAATTTGCAATCCACCGGATCAAAGATAACAGCAAACGAAGGGAACTAACAACGACCGGAGTCTAAGATGCATTACCGGTTCCCATGAACGGAATGAAATCCTCTTCGGTGACATTGTACCCCATCTCAGCAAACAACTCAACGGCAGCCTTCCGAGAGCAATGCTCGCTGTCACACAACACCCCGTCCATATCAAACAACACCCCGCGCACAACGCCCGCCTCTTTGTCTGCAATTGACACCCCTTGTCCCTCCTCGCTCACCGCGGCTCTCACCACCACTCCCGCTCGATAAGCCTTCCCGAATTCACCACCAACACGCCCCTTGGCACCACCACCACGAACCCGCCCCAGCTTCACCATTCCAGGCGACATCAGGGGCAGAACACCATCCTTCCGGGCCACACCAGTTCTGATAGCCGCAGCCTGGATGGCGCCCGCCAGCTCCATGGCGCAGCACGAGCTCGCCATGGCCACGTCCAATCAACCAAAGAAACAACACCACACTACGTCTTCGCCGGAATTCCGATGCTGCTCGTCACAGCACTGTCAACAACAACAACACTACCCTTGCAGAGACACGAAATCCGAATTGCGAGCGGCAAAGCTCTCTTGCTCGCTGGCTCTATCCAATCTGCAGTGAATTTGTGGATTTGTCGAAGCTGGTGACGACTGGCTGCACGACGTAGCGTCATCTGCTTCCGTTCATAATATTCATGGTGGCTCTCGCTCTGTCTCTCGCTCTGTCTCCGAGGCGGGCAATTCAGGGTCCTTATTCCGCGACGTTGACGTCATTTTGGTGGATTTGAGGCATGTCAAAATCTTTATCTACATCCTCACCTTCTTCATCCTTTCCTCATTCATCTACATCCTCTCACCTCATTCATCCTCATATCATTCATCCACATCCTCTCACATCATTCATCCGCATATTATTCATCCATATCCTCTCACCTCATTCAACCGCATCCTCTCATCATTCATCGACATCCTCTCACCTCCTTCATATACATCCTGTACACACCCCTCGCCTTCTTCTGCTTCTTCTTCTTCAGGTGACTTGCTTTTGGCCAGTTTGGTGCTTAGAAGGCCCTTCGGTACAATACAGCAGCAGATCACAATTCATGATCTGAGGGCCACTTCACACTATGGTTGTTTGTTAAGCAGACCTTAGACAACTCCACCAGAAATTAGGTCAACTTTCAATGTAAAAGTTTTATTAAAATATTATCAATGATATTTTTTGTTTGTTTAGTTGACAAAGAATCGGGGGTATTTTATTTTTTATTTTTTTTATTTTTTGGTGCAATATAATTTCTTATTGAGTTGACAACTTCTTAGTACCAAAACTACCATTAAGTGCCATGTTGGCATGTTTGGCCAAAATGTTTGTTGATTGTTTGTCTCTAGTGTGAAGGCCAAGTGGTCAAATTTATTAACTCCATCAATCATATTGCTTGGATCTTTTGTCTGCTTGATAATTGACCATAGTGTGAAGTAGCCTTGAATGTGTACATGTTGTTGTGTTTGGAACACTTTGCTAAAAATTGGAACAAAAACGGGGGTTATTAGTAGTCTGTTCAATATTGTTCCAAGTTGATTTTTACTTCTAAAGAAGATAAATAAAAACTTGTCAATTGTGTAATAACTCATGGAGAGTTTAGCATTGTGGGGGTCCCAATTTTTGAACTTAAAGGTTTATTGAAGGTAATAATTGCAAGATTATTAAAACAGTAAAGACATGATTTTTTTAATAAAAAATTTAAAATTTTGTAAATATGTGTATGTATTGAATATGTTAAAGAAATAATTTTTTGCTTGTTTATTTTTTTAAAACAACAATATCATTCAGTTTAATTTAATTTCTAAAATGCTGCAAGGTCTTTTAATAAAAAAAGTTACATAAATTTCAATAAACGGGTTAAACATTATCACTTCTTCACATTTTTTTAAATATTGATTATATTAACAAAATAAAATAAAATAATAAATATAATGTAATATATTATTTTAAAGTAAATTTGAGTTTACGAGCATTTTTCAAAAAATGAGTTGGAGAAATATGTGGTGAAAATTCGATTGAAATCATAAAAAACATATTGTAATTTCATCATCAAAAAACCATCTATTAGTTTTATAGTTTAATTACTTCAAAAGAATAACTTAGTAAGGTTACGCTGAAATACATCTTAAAGCATAATTATGAGAATTCGAAAAAAAACTAAATAAAACTATTCAAATCTAATTTATTAAAAAAACTCATAAATTTTAGTTTTATAATAAATATTAGTAAATATATATTAATAAAATTTTATATTAAATTATTTCAAAAATACCACAAAAAATATGTAATTATGTCATAGTAAAAATTAAATCTATTTTAATATATCATCCAAAAAATTTACTTTCAAAAAAAATTAAAAACTGTATTAGTAGTAATTAATAAAAGATGTTTTACATGCTAAATGTGATAATAAAGTAAAATTATTTCACAAAATCTCATTTATTATAGCTATTACTTGAAGGATATTCTATAAATCAAACTATTATATTTATTTAGTTTTGTTTGATATTTTTTTCTATTATATTCTTACAACTCTATGTGTTGTTTTTTTACCAATTTAAATAATTTAGTCTTTTATTTTTTCAGGAGTAATATTATTGGACTATGTTTAAATCATATTTGGTTATACTCTATGTATAATAATTTATTTTTTACTATGTATTATTTCAAAAATTTCATATACGAGTAAAACTTATTTGAATACATTACTATTGAAGCAAAGAAACATCCTTAAATACTAATGTGTATGTTTAAAACGAGAAAGAAAAAAAGAAAAAAAAAGATGTATCTATGTAATAAATTAATATCTTATCATGTACATAGTTATCAAAATATAATAATATAATTACTTTTTATGTTTGCAATCACATTTTTACTCAATTAAATTCAGTTTTGTTGATTTTCATCAAAATTAGATTAAATTTTTTTTTAAGAAATAAATTAAACTATAATTAAATTAATAAAAAACATCTAATATTTAAATTTTAAATTTTAAAATTTAATAATATGAATAATAAAAGAAATATTTATATAATTTTTAATTATAAAAATATGTACATATATATATATATTTAAAATTTTAAATATTAATTAATTTTATTTTTATTTTTTTAAAAAATAATCAAATATTTATTTCATATTATTTTTATTTTTATAAATTATATATATATATATATATATATATATATATATCTATATATATTTCTAAATTCTTGCATATTTTCTTGTACTTTAAAAACTCAACATCATAACTTTTAGTAATTTTTTCTTATCTAAATATATTTTTCTAAATTCCTTGGTGGCTTTAAAATAACATAAAATACATACTTAAATTTTTTGTATAAAGTTTTTTATATAAAAATTATACTTTTTCATATGCATGGCATTTAAAATTTTATATGTAAAAAAAATTAATTGATAGGTCATTTCAACCATTGGTAGTATCATATACAAAGGTAAAAAGACTACCTTGATATTTATCATTATTAAAGCCTTTATAACTTCTTTTAAATAAAAAATGTAAAATACTATCAAAAGTGGTTCTTATTTCTTATAATATGAATAAAAATCAAAAGTATCTTCTAAGATTTTAATATCAAATATATTATATTTCACCATCTATTTAAAAAAGAACATATTATTTTTGAGAGTCTTTATTTCTATTAAGTCATCTTGAATTTCATAACAATCTCAATGCATGTCTAATAACTCAACAAATAATAGCTCTTAAGTTGAATATATTGGTTGTTGATTGTCCATTTCATGAGTGCTAAAATTATATATAAACCAAAAATAAAGATAGAAGATAAAATTTAATCTTCAATAAACTTTGTTTTCTCAACAACAAAGAATGGTTCGACTCTTTGTCTTGGTTTTGATGAATTTTATTGATGAAAGCATCCATCTTCTTTGCTCTATTTACAAGATTTTTGGTTAGATCCTACATGCATTTACTAATATAATATCTATGCCAACATACAAGTTATTCAAATCTATTTTAGCATTGTCTTAGATCTAAGACTTTTTTGACCTCAATTTCCTAATTATTGTCATTTTTTATAAAAGAATATGGCATTTGCCTTCTTTTTAGTATATCCATAGTCTTATAAAGTTTAAAAAGAGACATATGGACACAAGATGGATCTTTATAGAACTTGATAGATATAATTAATAAGTAATTAGATTGATTTTTTCACAAAAAATAAATAGTCCGAGTATATGATAATTTAACTTGTTACAAAGGCAAGTAGTCTTGATATTATGACAAAGTAACTATACTTTTATGCCATTGTAGAATTAAGGTTGTTTCTTATAATGGAAATTTTTATTGATTTTTTATCATTCTTGAATTTTTTTTAATTGTACCTTTATTATTATATGTAGTGCTTGTAAATAATTTGTCATAACTTCTATCTCATCATTATCAACTTTTGAAAAGTTAAAATTATCAAGTTATGGATGATAATTATAATTAATATAAAAAGATATTTATTAAGTAGAAGAATATATTGTATTATTATAAGAAAATTTTACTACTAACAAAAGATTTATTCAACCATCTTGATGGTAGTTAATAGTACATCTCAACTACTACTTTAAAACTTGTTGTATGTATTACATTTGTCAATGAACTTGACGATAAAAATTAAAGTTAATTTTCTATCTATCTTTGATATCTTGAAAAAAAATCTCTAAAAACTTAATATAAACTTGGTCATTCTAACAAATATAATATCTCTAAGCAATCCATGATAGCAATAAATATTGTTAAGAAAAACTTTAATTATTTCTTCAACTGTAATAGTTTTTTTATATAATACAATATGTAACATCTTAGTGAAACAATATATTCTCACAAATATATAGTCACAAAAACTTGAGTACAGAAGGTTTGTGATAAAATCCATAAAAATAAATAAATAAATAAAAATCATAGTTTTTTTGGTATAAATAATGGTCGAAGCGGTCCATACGGTCAATGATTTAGAATATTTAATTTTAAAAAAAATTACATAATTGTACAAAGTCTTTAATTACCTTCTATATTTAATGCCACTAAAAATCTTTTGATATTAATACCAAAGTCTTGTTATCTCTAAAATATTTTACAGCTAAGAAATTATGTCTTGTTTAAAAAGTATAAAATTATATTTCACATTTTAAAACATATGAGCAATCTTTAAAATATAATAGATTATTTTTTAATCCAAATTTAGAAATATCATGAGATCTAGGTAGAGTAATTTTAAAATCAATAATAAAAAAAATTGACAACACTTTTGATTAAACTTGATTAAAATAGGTTGAATTAAGAATTAATAATGAATTTATTGCTTATAAATGAAATTATTCTAGCTTCAAAAGTTTTTTTTATTGTTAATCAAAATTTTTTTATATATATATACATAAATATATATAGATAAAATATAAAAATTTCTAAAATAATCATCTAATAAACTTTATTATTTTTTTAGTCAATAAATAATCTTAAATTCAAATCTTAAAAAAGAGATATTCCAATAAATTAAGCAGTGCTTTAAAATACGTATTGACATGAAATACTTGAGGTTCATATATTCTATATAAATTGCCATTGGACTTGAAGCACCTTCTAAATAATGGCATCATTTTGAAATGAAACTATAATTAAAAGAGGTTTTTTTTATTGTAGATCTTGTAGTTTTATTTAA